CCACTGCAACATGGCTGGCTCTCAACTGCCCTCTGCAATAACGTAAATGGGGATGGCTTTGTCAGTGCTGCCCAGATCCCTTGAATAAATAAATGTAGTCCAAAGCAGAATTAGGGTCCCTGCAGTTAAATGCACTGGATGCCTTTAGAACAACTCAGAAAAATTAATTTTACCCCTGTTGGCCTCCACATCAACTTCATCATGCTGTTTAAATCTACAAATGTTTATTATAGTCTGACAGTTCACGGAAACATCATTGAATATTTACCCAAAGTATAAATAATGTTTAGAGTAGGAATTTATATCATGCACATCAATCCAAGATTCATTCAATAAATTGACATCCAGCCCACGCATTAACAGGCTTAGAAAATATGCTGTACATTTATTAGCGATCACTTGTGGACAGGGTTTCTTAAAGGAGAATGCCACTTATGGCAAACACAAACATTTGTGTCTCAAACAAAAACTAAAGTGTTGGAGAAAATCAACAAGTCTGGCACCATCTGTGGAGACAGAAACAGAGCTAACATCAAATTCTCTTCTTCAGAACTGAAAGGGGTTGGACAACTGTATGTTGTAGATTGAGGAGGGGACGTGAGTGGAACAGATCATAAAAAGGTACTCAGAGCCAAAGACAAAAAGGTTGATATTGGTGGTGAAGGGGAGATAGAGAAACGTGTCAATGAAGGTGTGACATGAAAATACATCCGTGATATAACTGCAGATCTTATTGAGGGAGAAACAGCAAATGCTGGGGATCACAACAGGTCAGACAGCTTCCATGGAGAGAGAGCACACTAACATTTTGAGTCTAGATGACTCTTAAGTGAAGTGTGGAGGGAGCAGCATTTATGCGATGGGGGGTGGGGTGTAGAGTGGGGAGAGAGAAGAATTTGATAATTCAGATTAAGTGATCAGAATGTGAGAATGCTGCCCACTCCAAACTTCAGCTCTGAAGAGTCGTCTAGACTTGAAACGTTAGCTTGCTGTCTCTCCACGGATGCTGCCCGACCTGCTGTAACCTCCAGCACATGTCGCTTTCAGCACACATTCCAGCATCTGCAGTAATTTGCTCCTTATTGAGGGGGAACCTCAGCTAAGAGGTCAGGACTGCAAACTGCAAAGCATCACCCTAAGCTGTTAAAGCTATTTAAACATCTGGCGTTAGACATTCTAAGCTTCAGGCTTCCTCAGGGGTGTCCTTCACTTTTACTTTTTAAATGGGTCGTGTTAACAGATTCAGCAGAATAACAGTGTCTATATATACCTATATCGTAATTGCACACCTAAAATGGTGCTTCGTAAAGAGCATGAAGATGAATTTCCATTTGATGAATATTATGTCAAAACAAGATGTCCAATTTACTTAAAATTACAGATTCAGAAATTCATGAACAGTATTATTATTCATAACAGAGAATAATGCGAGCTCAGTGCATGTAATGAGTGATTTTCAACTGTAGATGGCGATCACATACAGTATTGAATCGAAATAAAATTCAATCCACAGGATGAGTCTTGATATCATCTGTAAAAATTCCCAGAAACTTGATTTCAATCTGTCTTTCCTCTAAACCCATCAACATTTAACTTAGTTACTTCTACAGTTAGGTGCTCAGTAGGGAAACACGTATAAGAACGTGTTAACGTATAAGAATGGGGATTAAAGAGACTTCCGTCCCTACCCCCAAGATAAAATACAGTTGTATAACTCAAGTTATCTAAACAGCAACATCTAAAAAGGAGCAAACTGCAATGTACTTTTAACATTCCTTTTGCAAACGTATTGTAACTGGAGCACGGTGTTGTTATCAATTTAAATCTGTATGCAGTATCCCAAAGATGCAAGTGGATGGGTGAAGGGTGGGGGGCAAGATATAGAGAAGACCCAGTGAGAGAACAGCTCATTAATTGCTGATTTATAATTCTGCTATCAATGATAAGTAACTGAAAGGTAAATGGGGGTACAGTCAGGCAGGGCCGCAACAGCAGATAGTGTACATCGTATGCATGTATGCACATAGAATCATCATATCCTAGAATCCTATTCGGTTCATGGAGTCCACACCAACCCTCCGGAGAGCATCTCACCCAGACCCAACCCTATCCCATTACCCCACATTTCCCATGGCTAAACCACCTAGCCTGCACATCCCTGGACACTACAGGTAATTTAGCACGGCCAATCCACCCTAACCTGCACATCTTTGGACTGAGAGAGGAAACCCATGCAGACACAGGGAGAACGTGCAAATTCCAAACGGACATGCGCCAAATGGAATTAAGCCCGGGTCCCTGGCACTGTGAGGCAGCAGTCCTAACCACTAAGCCACCATGCCACCCAGATATCTTATTGTAACTCACTCACATATGCTGCTATTATGTACATGTGTGTACTATGTTGGCAAAGGCAGAACAAGTTACTGCCTGGTGGCCACTGCTTCAATGCCCCAATTTCCTGGGAATCCATTGGCGAATGGCTGGTTTGTGATGCAGAGTGATGCCAACAGCGCAGGTTCAATTCCTTTAATCGGCTGAGGTTACCATTGAAGGACTCTCCTGAACCGTAGCCTTTGCCCCAGGTGTGGTGACCCACTGTGAACCACCACCCAGTCATGTCTCTCTCTTAAATGGGAGAGCAGGCTTATGGTCTGCTAAGATTATAGTGACCTTACCTTTAATTCCAAAAGCACCTGAAACATATCCGGCACCATATTTCATCAGGCAGTTTTCAGGAGTTGCTTAAACAAGTATTCAGCTCCCTCATTAACGTATCCAAGGATCCCAACACCTACTTTACATGTTTTGCTTTTGCAATAAACTGTCAGAATAAAAACGCACTTCTGACAAGGTAGAGAAGGATTACAAATGACAGGGGAACGCCAGGAGATATTACCCTTGTTTAGTTACCTGTATGCGGGCTTGAGTCTATGTAAATGTAGAACAAGGGAGCCAGAGTGATTCATACAGATGAATCACACTTAGTTTTCTGAAGCTGCTATGCTGTTTCAAGCTTCATTCTTTAAGAATAATGTACATTAAAATAATATTCATAGAATATGACTAAGGAAGAATCAATATCTACATCCAAAATAGCAGTAGGGTTATTTTTGTGGAATGTGGGCGTTGTTGGCTGGGCCAGCATTTATTGCCCATCCCTAGTTGCCCTTGAGAAGGTGGTGGTGAACCCTGCAGTCCATATGCTGTAGGTAGCCCCCTAAATGCAATCAGGGAGGGAATTCCAGGATTTTCACCCAGTGACACTGAAGAAACAGCGATATATTTCCAAGCCAGGACAGTGAATGGCTTGGA